CACCCAACACCTCAATGCAGATGTCAACATCTAACCACATTGTCTAGGTTTCCCTTTGTAGTCAATGGAGAGAAAGAGGTTTTCTCAGCCGAGATGCCTGGGCATTTCCTGGTGACCAACCAATGCTCCAGGCGGGAGCCCTGGGTCACATATCCCAGCACTTCATGGGTGCCTCTGTAACCCCAGGGCAGCTCAGGCAGCAACAGCCTCTCTGTGTGGGCACATGAATGCAGACCTGAATGGAGGTCTTTGCCTTGAGTTGAAACCTGCTTAAAAATTATTCTAGGCAGGAACTGAAAACAACCTTCACTTTCGGAATGTCAGACATTTTGGCTCAGGTCTTAAATTATTTTTTTCTTGTTATTTTTTTATTTGGGTGAACCACATGAGTATCACAGAATCACACAGAATCGTAAGGCTTGGAAGGGACCTCAGGAGATCATCTAGTCCAACCCCCCTGCTAAAGCAGGCTCATCTAGAGCATGCTACACAGGACTTCATCCAGGCGGGCTTTGAATATCTCCAGAGAAGGAGACTCCACACATATCTATATGCAGTTCATCCACATACATTTCCTACCAGTGCTCTGAATGGAGAAATTCCCTTCTGGAAAGCCACTATATCTATATTGACATATTTCCCATCTCTTCTCCAGCCTCTCTGCCCTTTCTCCTTCCTCCACCCATTTTGTATTTACAGAGAACTGCAGGTAAAGATTTATCGAGTAATTAATTATAGGAGATATTTCTGGGCATCACCTAGTTCCCCTCCCTGCCCCATACTCAACAGAGGGCTCTCCCCAGTTATGTGTCATCCACAGACCTGTTGAGTGTGACCGTTGTCCAGGCCATCACTAAAGGTGTCAGACAGAATTGGGCTCAGCACTCCCACCATGCGCCACGGTGAAGAGACTGGCTCTGCATTCTCCATGTCCTCCTCACAGGTACTGGCAGGCTGGGATGAGGTCCCCCTCAGCCTTCTCTTCTTGAGGCTGGACAAGCCCAGCTCCCTCAGCCTCTCCCCACTGGCAAAGTGCTCCAGTCCCTGAGGGCCTGCTGCTAAACCCATTCCAGCTTGCCAGTATCATTCCCAAATTAGAACTCTGAACTCAGGATGGAGCCCTCCAGAGAATCCCTTCCCTTGATCTCTTGGTTTTGCTATGGTCATCCAGACCAGGATGCAGCTGGCCTCCCTTGCAGCCCAGGCACACGGCTGCCTCCTGTCCAGCTTGCTGACCACCCAGACCTTTCCCACAGAGTTTCTCCCGGCCAGGCAGCCCCCCAGCCTCTACCATGGCCGGGGGGAGTCCCGTGTGGGGGTAGAAACCAGCATTTGTCCTTCTGGGATTTCCTGAGGTTCCTGCCATTACATGCTCTCCCACTCCTTGAACTCCTTCATTGAGCACAGAGGCCTGGGGGACCTTTCCAGTAAAGACTCAGGCAAAGACAGTTGTGAGTTTCTCATCCTGTCATTGTTTAAACCCCAGCAAGCAACTCAGCACCATGCAGCCGTTTGCTCAATCCCCCCATAATGGGATGGGGGAGAGAATTGGAAGAGTAAAAGTGAGATAACTCTTGGGTTGCTATAAAGACAGTTTAACAGGGAAAGCAAAAACCATGCACACAAGCAAAGCAAGACAAAGAATTCATTCCCTCCTTCCCATGGGCAGGCGAGTGTTCAGCCATCTCCAGGAAAGTAGGGCTCCGTAACAGGGAACAGTGAAGACAAATGTTATAACTTTGCATGCCTCCCTCGCCCCACACTTCTTTCTTCTTCCCCCAGATATATGTGCTGAGCATGACATCATGTGGTCTGGAATATGCCTTTGGTCAATTGGGGTCAGATGTCCTGGCTGTGCCCCCTCCCAGATCCTTGTGCACCTGGCAGAGCATGGGAAGGTGAAAAGTCCTTGACTGGTGTAAGCCCTGCTCAGCAACAATGAAAACATCAGTGTGTTATCAACATCACTCACACACCAAATCCAAAAAGCAGCACTGCGCCAGTCACCAGGAAGAAAATTAATTCTTTCTGAGGAGAAACAAGGACACAGACCTATTGGTGTCTCTCGATTACCAGATCACTGCCCTCTTTCAGGAGCAGCCCTGTATTTCCCTTCTCCAGCCTTAGAATCATAGAATCATAGAATGTTTAGGGTTGGAAGGGACCACTAGTGGTCCCTTAAGGTATAACACACCAATTGAAGCTCTTCTTTTTGCTCTTGACTCTTCTTGCAGCCACCAACTCCAGGTGCTCACCCCCTGGCAGCTGATTCATGCCCTGTCAGTGCCCTGTCCTGTGCCAGCCCAGCCCCACTGTCCCACACACAATCCCATGGACCCACTGTGCAGGCACAGCATGGCAAAGAGTGTATTTGGTGTGAAGGAATACTTTCTCTTGCATGATCTCCATGACACCCCCTTGTTCCCTGTCACCGTTCTGTTCCTTCTACGTCTGACAGCCTCCTGCAGGTCCTGGAACCTCCCATCCCTATCCATATCCCATGTGGTGTTTCACAGATATCCCTGCTCTGGGGCCTGTCAGGATCTGGAGAAGGAGAGAAGTCGAGCAAGGCTGGTCATTCCCCCAGTGCAGGCACTGAGACCAGCAGCAGGAGGGAAATGGCCGTGCAGCAAAACTCACCCATAAACGTGTGGAGAGCAGCCAGTGCTGGAAGTGGCCACGTAAAGAGGCCACCATTGAAAGCTCACTCCCCTAACACATCACCCCATGCCCTCCGCCCCTAAACACATGGAGGACCAAAGCACAGCAGCACGGCCTTGTGGGGCCAATTTCCCCAGCCTGATCCTGAGCTCAGCTTTGGAGGAAGACACAAACATCCAAGAGAGCAGCACCGCTGAAGCCCACTTTTATTACAGAGATGAGACACGGGGGGGCCAACTATGCCATTGCATAAGACAGATGTACAAAGACCTCTGGGTCAGACAGACAGGGTTCATGCTTCTGAAGAAGAGGAGTGGATGCTGTTGTTCATGTGCAAATATGATTATCACAGATGAAATACCCAAAGCATGGGAGGTTTTGAAGATACATTGGAAATCATTTGTGAAGAGATGGGAGATTATTCTTGTTGAAGAACACTAAATGATTCTTGAGTGCATCTTTGAGCTCCTGGTTCCTCATGCTGTAGATGAAGGGGTTCACTGCTGGAGGCACAACTGAATACAAGACACTAACCACCAGATCCAGAGATGGTGAGGAGACTGAGGGGGGCTTTAGGTAGGCAAACATGCCAGTGATGATAAAGAGGGACACCACAGCCAGGTGAGGGACACACGTGGAGAAGGCTTTGTGCCGTCCCTGCTGAGAGGGGATCCTCAGCACGGCCCTGAAGATCTGCACATAGGACAGCACAATGAAAATAAAACACCCAAATACAATGCAGACACTGACCACAATAAGCCCAACCTCCCTGAGGTAGGCATCTGAGCAGGAGAGCTTGAGGATCTGGGGGATCTCACAGAAGAACTGGTCCACAGCATTGCCCTTGCAGAGGGGTATGGAAAACGTATTGGCCGTGTGCAGGAGAGAATAGAGAAACCCACTGCCCCAGGCAGCTGCTGCCATGTGGACACAAGCTCTGCTGCCC